TAACATAAATGGTTTAAAATTATGCACCGTTTATCTTTTTCTCAACGGATCTCTAATAATAAATAAAGATTGTCCGGTGACGGCCTTAATATTGTAATCTTTAAGATAAAACACAACCAGATCGACGACTGTTTGTAATTCTCAATATTTGCCGCGGGAATATTTTAAAAGTATATTATCCGTTTGATTATTATTTATCTCTGTGATATAATAGATTATGTTTATCAATATAGATAGTTTTATGTGCGGAAATAGACAACATGGTCAACTCCTGTTGACCATGTTGTCTACTCCTGGAGATGGAATTTTTTAAATATATTATAATGGTATAGTTCACTCGCCTGCGCTAATGGTGGCAAGGCACTAGTGGAGGATGACAAGATGAGCATGAAGTCAGGTTTCTTTAGCCCATCGTGACAAATTCAACCGAAATTTAACATGATGGTTTCCAGGGGAAACCGCGTGGAGGTCAACGTGACATGGTACATTGCTAGTAATGGAGTAATTACTAACAAAGTAGCTATAAGGAAATTAATTTATACAATTTCCCTATAGGCTGTTAAAGTATGAACAATTCGACTTCTTTTTTTATTCAGTTCTATTCTCACAAGTCTAGCCATTACTACTTGTTGTCTAACATTGATTTAGTATATTAATGCAACCTTTGTTGACAGACTCGGTGGTCTAGTGGTTTAGCATACCGCTTTACTATCCGATGGTCGCGGGTTCGATTCCTCGCACGGTACAGACGGTATTGGTCTGGGTGTTTTCTATGTATAATATGTATTTATTTACAAAAAAGTCCAACCATGTATTTATATCAATTGTCTAGTACCCATAATACAAGTTTTAGCTAGCTTAACTTGGGTCTAGATGGCGTTGTGTGAATTTTCCTAAGATTATTATTATTACCTTTTAAATTCAAAATACAAAATATCACGATGAGAATTAGTTGGTAAATTACAAACAAAATACCACATATGATCACCGATTTTTAGTGGTACCTTTTAAGCTTTAAATTGTGCGTTTCAAACATGAAATCGTCAATAAACACCCATAAATGTGGTAGAGCCGTTTATATTAATGCGACGTTTTTAAATCGGGCTATTAACCATTTATTGCCCAGTTTTAGCGTGAATTAGTAATAATCCTGTCATTTGTTTTATTTTTTATTGACTTCAATACGAAAAAATGTGTCAAAGGATTGGTCCAATCCTAATTGGTCCCATACAATGTAAAACTCAATGTAAAGGAGTAGATTTTTTGATACAGTAATACTACATTTATTACAAGAATCTTAAAAATAACAGACAAAAAATTGTCGTCAGATACACGTAAGGAATTTCTAAACTTTGTCTTTACTGTATTTATGGTATACTACTACTGTATATCTTTATATATAAAAATTACGTGCCACGTTCTTAGTTCGAGAGGGACTCCTAAACTACTGAACCGATTGCAAATTTGATTTGCGCATTGTGTGCAATTTGATCCAACTTGAAAGATAGGATAGCTTACACCTCAATTTATAGTCGCAATATTATTTTATTCAAGAACCTTAGCCACAGCAACGCGTAGACGGGTCTGCTAGTATTATATTCATATATAATAGATTTGCATACAGTACATTACTGTATCCACCATCCAAATCTTAAAAAATATATGTTATTATCTAATTGTATCACTCAACATTATTATCAAACTAGCTTTTGCCCTTCGCTCGCGTTAATTTATCCCCTTTGGGGTGGAATATATCAAAATCCTTTTTTAGGGGATGCCTACGTCATAGTAGATTTGTGCATGCAAAGTCTCAGCCCGATCGGTTTAAAATTGACAAAATTTCATACAAACTCTTATCCCCTTGGGGGTAGAATTAATCAAAATCCTTTCTTAACGGATGCCTACGTCATAACATCTACCTGCATGCCAAGTTTCAGCCCGATTCGTCCAGTGGTTTGGGCTGTGCGTTGATAGATCGCTATGTCAGTCACTTTTGAGTTATATATATGTATATATATATATAGATTTGACATCTATTCTATCTAGTTAATACAACTTTTAAATTAAATTTAAACACTCAATGTTCCTTAGTAATAATGTATTTATAAGTTTTTTTTTAATAAATGTATGTGTCAGAATAAAGAGAGAAAAAAATAATCTGTAGTTTAAGCAAATACAAAATCAACCTTTTTGTCTATACGAATATGACATAAAATCTTACAAATTTAATAAATAACCCTATCTATATAAAGTTTGTTCATTTATCATAAATCAGTGAAAGTAGATGATTACCTACTGTCGCTTACCAAGTAATGAAGTAGCTTCAATATTGATTAATTTTTACATAAATATACCTTATGATAATTACTATAAAAAATGAGCTCGCGGATTCACCCGCGCGAAATTTATAGCCTATTTTATTCTGATATATAAGCTATATTACTCTAAAGTTTCATCGAAATACGTTCAGCAGTTTTTGCGTGAAAGAGTAACAAACATCCATCCAGCCATACTCACAAACTTTGGCATTTATAATATTAATAAAATTATATGGTCGTTTAAAGAACGCATAAAATCACATATAAATAATTTACGACTAAATACCACAGGTACAACAACCAAAAGAAAATTAATTTGTTTTTATTTTGCGATATTTGTCAAATAACAGCTATTAAAATTTTATGTGTTTATGTACATATATTTTTATTTATTTAAAAACCATATCGCCTCAATGTTAAGTTAAAAAATCATCCTGATCATCTGCGGTCCTTCGGTTCTGATGAATTGTGGTCCTCCACCGTGCGTTTTTCTAGAAACTTATTTCAATGCACAATCACATTGGGGCATCACCTTCCAGCATTGGTATTTCCGAACTAATACGATATTGAAACCTTCAAGAAAAGAGCTTATTCCTTCTTAAAAGGCCGCAATGCACTTGCAATTCCCCTGGTGTTGCGGGTGCTCATAGGCGGCTGTAATAACTTACCATCAGGTGGGCCGAAAGCGAATTTGTCCCCAGGGCTATAAAAAAAGGTTATATTACTTCGCTACTTGTATGTTCTACAAATATTGAACGACAGCATGTTTATGTTTCGCACTGACCGGTGCAGCGTAAATTTATTGTATACATAAAGACTTGTTGACATTAATCACGCGAAATTTACCAAAATTAGCATTTACGACTTAAATATTAATCGTAATATCATTTACATCATAATAAATGCTTGTTTTAACGGTCTCAGTGGTCTAGTGATTTAACGCACAGCCTTACTACCAATGATCGCAAGTTCGACTAAAACAAACAAGGAGGAATGCGAGGAATTGAATCTGCGATAAAGGAAAGTAAAGCGGTGTCCTAAACCGCTAGACCACCGAGACTGTCTATCATTGCCTTTGTCATACCTATATGTACATAGTATAGTATTTATTTTTTATTTATTTGTCTACTTCTTATTGCACCAGATACAGAAAGTAATAAGTTTAAATAAACTGATACAAAAGGCGTCGCGTAACTTTGGGCAGATAGAGAATGTAACATAAGATAAAAAAAGAAATTATTATCATTACTTACCAATTTTATCAAATATTTTCACACATTTCATTTGACGGCCTCGGTGGTCTAGCCGTTTAATACACAGTCTTACTTCCGATGGTCGCGAGTTCAATTCCTCGCACGGCACATATATTTGTATTCATAAGTAATAGTATAATATTATTTGTATGATCTGGGCGTTTTCTATGTCTGTATGTATGTATTTACAAAAAAAACGATGTATTTGAATCAGTCACCTAATACCCATAACACAAGCTTTAGTTAGCTTAACTTGAGCCTAGATGGCGCTGTGTGAATTGTCCTAAAAATCAAATCAAATCAAATAATATTAGTTTAAAATCTATGGCAATTGCATCTGCGCATATTTTAAATCGGCATTTGCGAAGTTTTATTAGCCTGCTTCCATCTGTAAGCAACCGAGACTCTGTTACTGTTACTCGTATTTGTTGGGTATAGATACGTCACCATACATCAAGTAACGAGTAATAGATACACGATTTGTGGTATAAGAAGGTGTTAATGTCGCTAAGAGGGAATTTATGTTGTTGAAAATAGCATTTCCTGTTTTGCATGTAAATATTCTAAATCCAGACTTGTATATTTATATAGAAAGCATTTAATTTAAACGTTCGTTTCTATAATTATAGTGTGGTTACAGAATTGCATGTTTCAACTGAACTGTGATATTAATAGTAGGCTGAAGTAATTCATATTGTTGCCAGTGATTGAGTACATATTTAAAAACAATGTATGTTCATTTATTGTGTATTATTTACTAGCTGTGCCCGCGATTTCGTCCGCCTGGAGTAAACGACTAATGAAGGATTTTCATACATACTTTAGTCTGCTATTTTATTTCACAAATTTTGTTTTACAAACTTTGAATGTCATATTTATATTTAATCAACAACCTAAAAAATGAGTTTCGAACTTGTAGCTTTAAAAACGATACTTCTATATAACCTGTCGTCTCACCTTTCAACCACTTACAACCCTTTTTTCGTATTAAATAGTAGCCTATGTCCTTTCTCAGGATATAGACTATCTGTGTACCACTAAATCGGTCCAGTAGTTTTGGCGTGGAAGTGCGACAAACAGACAGACAGAGTTACTTTCGCATTTATAATATTAGTAACGAGTGAGGATTGTGAGAGAAGGATTGTTGATACATTTAATTCTAAAACTAATTTAGATAAATCTAAAAATAATATCTACTACCATCAAGTTTTTGATAGTGTGTTAATTAGTTGATAATAACATCATTATATTAAAAAATGTAAATATTTCTGAATAACAACCGTCAAGTAGATCAATAGCTATTGAAAAAAAAGTAGAGGCATGTTTTACAAGCTGTAATCAAAATTTATACTGAACATACTCGTACTAACAGAGTACAATTTATTTTTAGATTTACCGCAGACACTAACAAAATTCTAAATTGTTACAGATCGTGTGATCCCGCAAACATCGGATCGTTTGCGGCTTGTAACCGAGAAGTGGCGAATTACATCGTATGGTGCAATAGTTAACGAAACAACATGCGAATAGCGATGTCACTAAAACATCGATATCGAACTGAATGAAAATCACACGTTGGGCGCCAATGAAGTTCCATTAGGCGCATAAGTTTCTACTTTAATAGCGAGTGTTAGAGGTGAATTTGCAAGTTTGAGGGTATGGTTATTGGCGGACTTTGAGGACGTGGAGGGATGAGAGAAGGGGTTGTGCAGTGACGGCGGCGGGGCGGCTGCCATGGGCGCGGCGCGCCATGCGTTTGCGTACGCGCCCGCTGCGGTTCATTCTCGCGGCGCTAGCGCTAGCTACCTGCGCCGCGGCGCCCACGCCGGAGCAGCGCGCGCAGCGATCGGCGAACCTCAGCCACATTACGGGCACTTCCAGGAAAATACAGATGTTCCTCAAGAATCGATATCTACAGCTGCTACCAGATGGCACTGTCAACGGCACCACAGACGGCAAGAGCGAGTACAGTAAGTTTTTTTTGTTTCTCTGCATCTTTATTATTCTGTATGTCGATATCTTTCAATGTTTTCTGTAGCGATGAAATGATTAAACTGTATATGTGAAATTAATGAAACAACAGATAAAATATGGTAATTGCTTGTAATGTAGACACGAAAGGTAACAGCGAAAAACTGACAATGAAAATATCATAATTCTAAAAACTCTGAAAAATAGACATAAAATTGAAATAAAAATCTAATAAAGTCCCAAGATTTTGTAACAAATCTGAATTAATGATTAAACATTACTTCAGTACTGCGAATTCTGGAGTAGGTTACACTTTTCTGAATTGTATTTGTTGACATAAAACATAATGTGGTTTTCCTGATTTCTACCATTCTTCTAGGTACACATAATTATTTATGTGATGTTTTTTTTTATTTATTATTAGATTGTAGATGTTTATATTATGCATTACATTAATCTGATATTTCCAAGGTTAGGTTAGGTTAGGTTATTTACTTATCAATTTCTTATATTTACTTCAATCTCTACAATCTATCTATGTATAAGATAATGCAATAAAATGAAAGAAAATCGAAATATTTCTTTCGTATTACTGGAAAAAAATTGGAAGAACAAAACGTCGTCATCAGATAATAAAATAATAAAGAAACTATTCCTTAACCACATCATTACATAAATTAAGATAACTAACTATTCCTTCAACACCCGTTAACAACAAACGGTCGGTTAAGTGGCGATTTAGTTAGATTTCTTTCGTTTTGCGCAAAACAAAAACTGATATGAAATGCAAATTGGCGAACGATTAACATATAAACTAGATTTAGCTCTTAACACGAAGTCTACACGTTTAAGTACTTTACATTTAGTACTGGAAGTAAGTTTATCTTAATACGCATCATGTGGCAAAAGGAATACCTTTATAAAGTCATTTACTTGAACCATTAAATGTTGGAATCGACAACATCGTTTAGAGATAACGTATGCATCAAATAAAAAAAATACGAATTTTTTTATACCCTTCCAATAATAACCTTCATCTGATATTCTAATTATAATATCCGTTTTATTTGTAACAAATCCCCTCTCGCAACTTCACCTGCATTACATTTTCTTCGTTTTTGAAATATTTTTGTTGATACTTCTATCTACAATACATCGTCTTTCTCAATAAATAGGGAATCTTTAGTATTTTTGGGAAAGAGAAGGAAGCATTATGTCGTCTCTAGCGCACACTGCTGTCGTCTTGCGGGCATTAAGCTGTGAACGGTGAGTGAGACAATTGGTGTTTGAGATTAGATAATGAAGAGTACAAACAGTACACTATCCAACAATAAAAAAAAACTATTTGTTCAGCAGTTATAACGTAATTGATTTTAGTCTCGATATTCTGGTTTATGGTCGCACCATGATATATAAGACTAATTGAGTTATTGCGGTGGCACTTATAAAAAAGAACACCTCATGATTGTCAGTTTCATAAATCAATTCAACGCCGTGAAGTTTTTGTATCGGAAAAAAATGTATAGAGTTTTTGCTAAATTTACGTGTTCAATCAAATTTTTTGAAATCTTTTTTCATAGTTAAGGCTAGCATAAACGCCATAAGAATTCAAGGCTATGTGTTATTCTGATGTATAAGCTGTAAAGTTTCATCAAAATCCGTTAATTTTTGCGTCAAAGAGTAACAACCACCCTTACTCACAAACTTTCTCGTTTATAATGTTATTAAGTTATTAAGAAGCGTTATTGTGCTAACGTATTCTATTGTCTTTTGAAGTATATTGAAATGTCCACATTATACATTAAAAATAATAATCTCCACATAGACTGAACTTACTCGGTTTCTGCCCATAAGTGTGATATACCACAAAGCGTAAAAAACCATCAAAGCTGTGAAAATAAAGCATGCAAATAATACTAATAATAATAATAATAAATATGTTTATTATGGCATCAATGGCTCATTTGTTAGTTTTTTTCTAATCTAATAGAAATAGAAATAATCTTTATTTTAATAAACTCTTTACAAGCACTTTTGAATAGTCATATATCACATATTGTTAACACCAAATTCAAATTCAAAATATCTTTATTCATGTAGGTCTATTACAGACTCTTATGATATGTCAAATCTACTGTCAGTTCGGAATGATTTGGAGATGAGAAGAACTGACAAGTCAGCTTGTATTTTTTTTTAATGTTGTACATATTTACAATAATACTATTTCATTTAAATTCCAATTTGGGAGAATAGAGTGACCACCAGCATATGCTATATAAAAAAACCTTATTGTTTACCTACATTTGCAAATAAAGTATTATTATTATGTATTTATATTATATATCTCCCTTTTTATGGAGGTAATACGTATTATTATTTACGTTATTGTCGCCTTTTCTCAGCTTTTGCTGCTTGCTATTATTATCATATTTGTTATTCTACCGAATGAGTATTCGGAACGCAGATTCATAACAAGAAGAACGAGCAAGAAAATATTAGTAAAGTTCTACTATTACTCTATTATAATATACTATTTTACATTGAACTGCGAACCAGCTTTGCTCTAGCTCTATTCCAAGACGCTGAACGCCTCTCACGCCATGTAGATTTTTAATATTTTTTATCCAATAAAAAAAGTTTGTAATGGAATGATTACATATTCAAATCTAACATTCAGGGATGCCAACCGATACGGTTGGCATCCCTGTTGGTATGTATATCCATAAGGGGACGAGATTTTTGGTCCCCGAAATTGAAAGACGAACTTCTTAACATTTCGCGGACCATAGTTTTACCGTAGGAGTGCCGGGTCCATTGTGTTGCAGAGAGGGAATCTCTGAGTAGTTCCCGGGACTGCTGACCGGGGTGTAGTTTTAAGGGACCTCTTTAACTACGCACTTCAACTTCGTACTCGCCTTCACCGCTCGTGTTTCTCTCCCTGCCTAGCCAAATCTGGTAAGAGCCTGCCAGTGCAGCTTTAGATATAAGTTCTGCCGTTCTAGACAGGCCATGATCTTTTAGAAGATTGTAGGCAGATTTCGTTGGTTTACCTCTCGCTCCGAACCGCATATAAAATGTCGTACCACCGACCGTATACGTTATTCATCCTTGTATAATATTGTATGACTACAACGTAATATTGCACGATTTTGACTTTCGGAATAAATTTTTCACTTCCATCCAATGTTGTGATGATTTTATTGAGTTTTTTGTGCATATTTTAGTTAGTGCACACATAGTAACAACCGTACCCAGTAGTCATATCGAAAAATGACAATCGGATCGGTCGAATAGTCAAATTGAGGCCATAATATGCGATATTTTATAAAGGGTATATAGATGAACACTATAGACATCACATTATCATGTGACGCCCTTGATACGACTCATACATTACCGAAGGATAAGGTTCATTGTCATGCCTCCGTACTCTATAATTTCTCTGCCTTTTCTCAACCTTAGCCTATTACTAACGAAGCTGTGAAATGAATAAGAGAGAAAGTCATTCATTTTGTACTATTTATATATTTTTAATGCCATATGGCAGTCTCTACTGGCTAACCATTGGGTAAAAACAGAAAGCACTTGAAGTCAGTAATGGAAAAGGCACACTTTCGGTATTTACCTAACTATTATACGTATATTTAATGTTGGCAACCCTATCGAACATCCAAATAATACTCTAATAACAGACGTCAAGTAGCGTCTTATTGCTATATAATTATATTTAGACAATAATAATAGTTACTGTTACATTTAATTGTGGTAATGTCTCTTTTAGATCGTTATCGCCTGCAGGTTGAACGACGGTGGTCCGATATCCGATTAGAATCGGATAATAATTTAATTATGAATATTGCCATTTCGTAACATTATTAGCTTATGGTCCTATTACATTAGACAAAACGTATGCTTAATTGTCACTTTTTTTCTTTTCTTTTGGTTCCGGCGGTTTGTGTTGACATTAGCCATTTTGTCACTTTTCAATTAATTCATCATAAAAAATATGTTGTGAACCGGTATTAATTAATGTTATTTTTATTATAATAATTTAAATTCAACGTCCACAAAATATAAAAAGTTAAATAATAAATGATGTACAGCATTAATAAGTGATTTCACTTATTAATGCTGTACATCAAAATTTTTATCGCTCTTTCGAAGATATTTGTTTAGTTGTATATATGGAGCCGTATCTTCGTATGAATTAGAACACAAGACAGAGAAAATTATCTATTTTTGCTTGAATCTTGTTTTATATCTACCAGTAAATAATATTTTATTACCGTTAAATGAAATTAAGAAATTAACAGACATTGTACAACTTTTAAATTCAAGATTATTTATCGAATTTCTTGCTCATCCCTTTCAGCTGAAACCAGTTTCCGAATTGTATTGTAGAATAAAAAAATAATTGCGATATATATCTGTAAATAAATAAATATTTCTGAATTTCCAATTGGTCAGCAACGGGTTGCTATCAACTCACGTAATCGGCCCGCCGAGTTGGCTCAATGAGAATGGTCTCGCAAAAACGGCCGCCATGAAAGGCGATAATAAAACGTGTATTCGGCATTTCGGGAATCGAATTAAGTACACATAAAAACCAGGTTTTTATTACTCATTTATTGTGGTTAATAATAGTGTTGTAGGCATTAAGTGTCATGCTTTTATGTATATTGGGTGAGTTCGATTTGTGATTTTAATGCATGTTTGAATGGAAGTTTACTTTTGTTGTTTTACGAAATCATATACACTTTTGTTTTTTATTACAATTTTTTATATTCACTAAAGTAATCACTATTACTTGCCGCTCATATAATTATGTGTAATATGTGTGTCAATAATAAATAAACGAAATATCTCCTTTGGAAAGTATACACTCTATCCTGAGGAGATAAAAACTGTCGGTCCTAAGAATATCCTTCAATTCTTGTCCCTGACGGGTCTAGGTAGCGAACTCTGAAAAAGGAGCATAATATATCTATGTACGGCACAA